CCCCCCCCTTGGCCTCAAGTCTCCATAAGTTTTTAAAAATATATGTTTTAATATGGGCCTCCAGTTGTACCTTCTGTGGTTCGGTGGGACTGGGGTGGGTGCCAGGGTCGGGTCCAGTCATACCGAACCTGAGGAGGTACAACTGGAGGTCCAGGGTGAATGAGTAGGTGGTCTCACAGAGTCCACCGCCTCCGCGCGGACTCGATCGACTTCGCCAGACGATGTTGGCGGACGACGCGTCGCAGGACTTTGGCGATGTTGGTGCTCATGACCATCCATGACGCTTGGCCACCGCTGGATGGTCATGAACTCAAGGCCCAGAACTCACCGCGACTGGTCGCGGTGGACCATGTCCGTCCCAGTCCTACGACCCGCCATCTGGGACTGGCATAAGGGACTACCGAGAAACGGCCGAACTCGGGGTGGTGGTGGGGGGGGGTCAATGGATCGGCATAGGCAGTCGCAGATGGCTGTCGTGGGAAGACGAGGGTGTTACAGCATGCCCGTCCGATGACCAACCGGGCGCTTGACCCACCGTCCGATGCTGTCAGAGCTTGCACCATGCGCCATGGATTCGACCAACCACCAACAACTCACATGTTGGGAAAAGCATGGAAAGGCCCAGGTAAGGGCGGTAAGGGTTTGATTTCTAGACTTATATACATGTCTTTTATTGGAAGGAGAGCAAAGTCAAGCTCAGAAACTGTCCCAGCTATATATCCCTGCTGGGTGAAATTTTGAAGAGGAATCCCTTTCCCTATAGGGCTCCAGTTGTATTTCCTCAGAAGGTATGATGTGACCCTGCTGGCACCCAGTCCAGTCCCACCAAACCTCTGAAGGTATACTTGGAGCCCTACGGTTTGCGAGTGTTTGATCTACTCCAGAGAGAGTCTTCAGGTGTGAAGGGTGCGTCCGGCTCGCTAAAGGTCCAAGCTTCTGGACACCCTAACACCCAGTGGTGCGGATGGGGTGATTTGTTGATCCTATTTTATATATGATGGTTCAATCTTTTTGGGAAGAGATATGAGTTCTATTTCTTCATGTGCACAGCAAATCAAAGATGTTGCTAGACACCTAGCACTTCCAATGGGTGTCCTGTCTGGAGACCTTACTAAGTGGGGTAGGATAGTCTAATGGACACCCAGACAGGATGACCCTGGCATGAATAATTTTTTGTGTTCAAGTGATGTTGGTGTCACACCTTTGGGTCACCTCATCGGTCGGAAAGATACGTCACGGCCGAGGACCTCATGAAGTTGGACCGATTGAGGCCAACGGCTGCTTGGAAGCACATGGTGGGACTATGGTTGGACCATCATAGTCACCTGACAGGGCCGTGAGCTACGTGAGTTCTTCTACGCGTGGGGGTCCAACTCAGGTGAAGGTTGTGAGGGGCTCCCAAAGCATCCCAAAGGTTTTTGTGATGCTCATCCAGGCTCCTGGCCCATCTCCGACCCGGTGACCGGTGCTTACACCCAAATCCACCCACCCCAAACGCCCACCAAAGCCAGGATGTTTGGGGGATCGGTCGGCCCAAGGAGGGTTGATGGGTACATTGGTTTCATCGATTGAGCATGAAAACCCCCCTTGGCGATCGATCGATAGCACTGATCGGTATAGCACTGATCGGTCGTGAACCCACCGGGGAGCTCCGCCACGTGGACAGGTCACCGGCAAGAGCTTCAATGGCTACAGGAAGAATAAGCAGCCCACTGGGCCGCACCGGACGACGGACGGACGAATCAATGGACCGAACCATGGCACCCCTGGCCGTTTCTCGGTAAAGATGATTCAAGATGCCAGTCCCATGAAGTGTTTGGTGTTTGTTTATGTTTGTTTTACACTAGTTCTTACTTCCAGAAGAAAGAAACACGGTGGACGACGGCAGGACAGCTCTTTGAAGCGGCATCTCAGTTTGGTCGTGACGAACATCCATGGGACTGGTTCAGTGACAACCTACATATGGGGTCATGTGAAACCAAGGTATAGGTTTTTCACGGCCCTGCCCTATAAATCGCCCATCCGACAAGTACCACTATACAGGGTCAAACATCGTCTCTCAACCTCTCTTGGTGTAGGGATCCAGTCGTAGCTTCTCAGAAGGTACTTGGGCCCTCCAAGCCTACATACATAGTCTCCGTCCTCACCTTCTGAGAAGGTACTTGGATCCCTAGGGTTGAAAATGGGGTACATGTAACCCTTAACCTGGACCTGAAGTCAGTACTTTGAGAGACGAGACGGCACACGACCGCGAGCCGTCGAGGGTCCAAGGATCCTTGTATAGGCCCTTTGGGGGCTCCAGTGGTACCGAAGCGAAGCGAAGGTAGGATTGGACTTTGGCACGCACCCAGCCCAGTGCCAGCTTCTCCTCCCTGAGAAGCCCTAGGGATCCAAGTACCTTCTCAGGTACGGTGATTGGAGGCACTGTTATGTAGGTTTGGAGGGTCCAAGTACCTTCTGAGAAGGTGCTTCTCCTCCCTGAGAAGGTATGAATGGAGCCCAGATGGGCAACATTCTTTGATTCAGCACCCGGACCGTCGACCGGACCGTTCGTACCTCGAACGGAGATGGGGTAGATCGAATGGTACAGATCGATCTCCTTGTTACTTTTTGTTTCGGGTCACGGTCATGTCCAATTTATATGAGGAGGTTCCAGGTAGATGTGGTCATGCTTTCGTATTGACCATGGGACTGGAGTCAGAAGATGCAAGACAGAATACTTTCCCCCCCCAAAAAAGTGGATGATACTCAACCTGTTTGGGGGTGATCATGGGTTGCTCTCCGCATTAAGAACCACTTGGAAAGGGTTTAACGTTACGGAGAAACTGGGGAAGTGTCAGGCTATCACCTCGCCTCCCCATTCATTTTGGAAAACCTCTTCGATTGGGGTGTGAACATTGATTCGAAACTACCCTATAGAAGTCCAGTTATGGACCATTCTTGGGCCTACTCCTGCAGGTGTCAGCACATTCCAAACCACTCGGATCACCGAAAAAGACTCGGTCAGTCGACCCACGAACAGTCCCGGGCAGACCGAGGATCGGAGACCACGACATCGCCTTAAGTCGCGCGCTGAGACGGTCGGGACGTGTTTGGGATTCCGAATCCGGGCCCGAAGCAAAGCCTATCCCGATCGGGCTCCAGTCGTACCGAACCTGAGGTTCGGTGGGACTGGGGTGGGTGCCAGGGTCGGGTCCAGATACCGAACCTGAGGAGGTACGACGGGAGCCCTATAGGGATAGGCTTTGGTTCGGGCCCAGACCCCTGCGTTTCGGAGAAGGTCCGACCCCGGGCCATGGAGAGCCCGTGCGGATTCAACCCTAAGAATCCTCACGGGCTCTCCATGGCCAGGGGTCGGACCTTCTCCACCGTTTCACGCAGGGGTCCGGACCCGAACCAAACTGTGTTGCTTCGAACCCGGATTCTTAGGGAATGATGAATGCCCAAAGGCTGCCTGTTTGGGACTGGCATAGGGCTCCTTTGTTTTGATGATCGTATGGAAGGCTTACGGGGACCTTTTCAAAGCAAGCTCCAGGTCACCCATTTGCAGCTTAACATGGACCCAGTCATGGACCCCCAAAACCACTGGGTTGTAGAGACTCAGGGGTGTATATTCCCACTGTCTATGTATCGAACTGTGCCCCATTTATGACCTTGATGTAGGCAACTGTTCCATACATGGATGGTTTGGGCTGGCATGTTCTATTTCATTTAAAGTCGACCACGGAGATTTCGACATGCCTTTTGCATGACACTTGGCTGTGGCAGCCCAAGGTAGTGTCCTAAAAAACCCTGCAAGATCCTGCAAACCTTTTCTATGGTATTTTGTCTCTGAGATGGACAGCAAGTTAAGCAAGACACAAGATCAGCAGATCTTAGAACGTCTCGAAGTCACAAGCCAAACATGTTCACCCTGCACCACCCACATCTTAAGCGTCTAATTTCTCCGAGCACGCAGGTTATGTCCTGGAGCGCTACCAGGGAGCACTGCCGTCCTTCGCGGGGCTGTCGAAGAGCCAACAGGTGGATCGAAGAGATCTCACGGGTTCGCGGGGGACGGTTTCGAAGAAACGGGTGAGACGTGTAAGACTCCAAACGGTGGTTCCGGGGTGGACAAGACCGGTTTGGTGCCGAACATAACATTTAAAGGTGAGTCAGGAATCAGAGGTGCAAAGTAGTTAAGTTATTCTTCTTGCCGTTTTGGGTGTCCGGATTTGATAAATACTCCGGGGTTCGAGTTTGTAGTGATTCTTGCTAAGCCCCTCGAGCAAGAGACACACCTTAAAGTTATTTGAATTGGAGACCTGCAGATCAAAATGGATTGGCATTGTCAATCAAGAGCTATGCACTTAGAAGATCCCAAAACCTGTTTCAATCCAAATGGTTTGGTTTTGTCAATCAAGAGTTTACACAGTTTGTCACTATGCACCCAGAAGATCTCAAACAGTTAAGCCAGGATCCAAAGAGCATGCCCTTGCGGGCAATAGCTGGCTTGGTGTTATGTTCTAGCCACAAAAATTGGGTGATGGGTGTTCAATCCAAAAATCAAAAACACAAGTGGACGGCGCGCACCAATCAATAATTGGTTTGGATAGTTGCCCTGGTCTTGTGGGGTATCCTTCCTAGACATAGGTTTCTTTTAGAGGTGGTTTGGTACCAATTTCGTGGGAAAGCATCCTGTTATTCCCGAAGGGGAATCACCCATATAGAGAAAATAGACATCACCCCATCAGCAAAACCAGGTACATTAGATATATTCTTCTCTTGAACCATTGCTGAGTGGCCTATGAGCTGCTGATGAACTGAAACGTAGACGTTACATGACTCTACCATCTATCCTATGTTCGAACCTTTACAACCCACAGCCCAGCTCAGCTCCTTTGCCTCCTTTGCCATACCCCAAAGTCATCCTCCAGCTCCTTTCATGTTCAATCCATTCTATATAGCCTGATGTAGCGAGCACGCACTGAGGACAGTATCCGGTTTACCCATTGCCGCTGGGAGAGGGTGATGCATGGGCAGAGCTTTGGTGACCTTTGACTCCCGACATTTGACTTGCCTTTTCCCAGCAAGTCCAAAACATCAGGTTAAACTAGTGCCTTACTCAAGCACTGGTTAAACTGGTGGGTTGACCCACGGGGTGTCCTGAAATGAGTCGAGGGTACATGGCTTCATGTGGCGGAGCGCCGTTGCATGATGGGATGCTTTGAGGGGTCAAACCTGGTCCTCACAACGACTATGCAACAGGTCCGGTTTGACCCAGTCAAACCTGGTCCTTGACCTGATTGAGTACTGTTATTGCATGACCAAATCCAGTAGAATGAGGCCCTTGACCTGTAGAATCTTAGACCGACCAAACCACCAAAGCACCACTGGGAATGATTGGATCGAAAGGAACCCCTTCTGCTTCAAAGCATGTTTACTACCTTGGGACATCGAAGCAGCATAAAACCAGACATGGGAACTTCAATCGGGTCATCCATGAGTGGGGTGCCATCATGGAGATGGGCGTTCTGGTTGGACAATGTGAGGTGTAGTCATTGGATCGAACATTTCGAGTGGGATGCCCAGGAAACCACAAATCCCAGACACGACCTGTTTGGGACTGCCATGTCGGACTGCCAATCAATTGACCTGGAACCACCCCTCCCCCGACCGGCGCACACGGTGTACATGGAGCGTTTGGGAATTGTTGCTTTGGGAGAATCTACCCTTTGACTCTTTGACTCAAAAACATGGTTACGTGGATGGCATTGCCTCTTGGATGACTATTCTCCTCTACAACCAGGTGGTGCCATCCACGTAACCATGTTTAGTGTGAGTCGGAGCCTACAGGAAACCAAAAGTGGAAACACTCCCCAAAGCCATGGGTTTCCTTTGGATTTTGCCTTGAAACCAATTCTGAGACAATTGAGTCCATAGGGTTTGTCATCCCAAGTTTGGTCGAGGCAGTAGCAGGTACACTCTGTTTCGGTCAGTTGAAGAACAACTTGCTGCCGCACCTTGTCCACATCCCTGTTAGTGATAATTATGTGTATCAAAGTTTCCTCATGTTGTTCGACACTTGTCATCATAATCATCGTCCTCACCCTCGTTGTCATTATGGTTTGGGCGAGGCTTCTCTGAGCAACTGAAGATCACTGAAGCATTTCCTCATGACATTTGCATACATTTGCAATATGGCTTTCCTCTAGGAGAATGGGGGTGTTGGCGTCGCGATCCTTGCAACCGTCATTGTCCCTAGACTCATCACTGTTGACTGCCAAGGAAGTGCGCCCTATCAGCTTGTTGCGTACCCTCCCAGCAGCTGTAAGTGGACTGCCCCTATAGCCAGGGATAGTGATTGAGATATAGGTTTTGCACCAATACGGTAGTTACAGTATAGACGGATCGGAAAAAGCTTTGCCATTCCTTCCAAGCTGAAGTTCGAGCGTCGCCGCAACAGTGGCCCCCCAACACGTATGCCACACCGATGAATCCAACCGGCGCCGCGGTGTACGAATCCGATGCCGACACGAGTCCTTCGGCGTGTCCTTGAGGCAAGATGGACTACAATATGGGCTGGCTAGCGCCTTGGAGCCGAAGACGGAGCCGAACACGGGAGCCGAACTCTGAAGTCCGACGTCATCGGCGGAGCTGGGGGGAGAACGGGTGCACCTGGGTTTTGGAGGCTGGAAAACCATAGATTGTTTGGACCAAAGACTGTAAAGACGCTCAAACCACCCCAACTGATCGGCATATATGGCAGTCCCATGGAGTGTCTGGGACATGAATTATGTCATGGATGGAAGCGGTTGAAAAAACCTCCGTCCCCGGATCACATCACGGCTTCGGCATACCCGGATGTGTGACCGGGTTGGTTGCGTCGGTGGTGTGAGACACGTTTGGATAGGGATCCAGTCGTGGCTTCTCAGGAGGTACGACTGGGCCCTCCAAACCTACATAACAGGGTCGAACACATCACCGTACCTGAGAAGGTACGACAGGATCGCTAGGGATCTCAAGTGCATGTGAGAGTTCTACAAGTCGGCCTCTTCTCTCCTTTGCCCAGGGGAGAACGGGAGCAAAGGATCGTTTGGATCAGCACCGACCATAGAGCTTCCACAAGGAGCTAGCCTTCATCCAACGAAAGATGGAAGCAGAACGTGTCAGTCCCAAAGAGGCATTAATTAATCATTGAACCACTCAGAAAACATCAAAATACCCTGTGTGGCTTCTGCAACATCAATGTTTGAAAAGAATCCAACATATGGCTCTTTGCTTTGATGTGATAGGCCGCCCAAACACTGCATGTATGGAATGTTTACCGGGGCCTACATTGAGCTGCTTTGTTGGGGGTCAATGTAGACCGAAATCCAGTCCCAGACAGGTCGACCATCTGACTCCATCAACCGACCACCGACGTCACGGGGCGCCAGCGACGTCACCCGAGGTGCAGGCCGAAGCCCCTCCCGGGATGCTCTTCGGAGCGCTGCGCAAGGCCATTCGCGAAGGCGTCACGGTGGCCGATCGGACGAAGCGGCCGTAGTGAAGGTGGGACGAGGTGGGGGGGTTCGGTACGACCTGGAGGTGTGGAAGCGATGGCCTCCCCAGACGCGACCCGACCGGCCCCGAATCCTCGCGTCAGGGGGTCGGGACCCGAACCAAACCCGGTTTTGGAGGGACCCAGTCGGGCGTCGTTCACGGAGCGTTTGGGCCCAACCCAAAAGCAATGGCACCTCTCAAACCGGGGGCGATGAATTGGGGGAACGAAGCCGGCGACGGAATCCGTTTGGCGCTAGACGTGGAACGTGCAGTCCCAGCATAGTTCTCACCCAGACGCGACCCTGGACCCTCCTAACTAGGGGTCCGGACCCTCAAATCTGTAGGGTTTTGAGGGACCAAGAGCTGTTTGGAGCGTCTGGGCAGCATAGTTCCCAGCCGAGTTTTTTGAAAGACCAACTTGGGGGCTGCTGGCTGCTGGTACTTTCCCTGCCCTAGGGATCCAGTCGTACCGAACCTCAGGTACGGTGAGGACGGAGACACTGTGACATGTAGGTGCCAGGAGTGTCCAGTCGTACCGAACCTGAGGTTCGGTGCGACTGGATCCCTATAGGGTTTGTACTTGTTTTGGGGAAACTGTTTTTGTGGAGGAGTTTTCAACACTTGCTCAGTGCTTGTTTCCTGAGTGCCATGGCGGTTTTGGAGGACAACACTCCCCCTGGCAAAAAGCCTTTGAAGGATTGGTTGGGATTGGTTAATCAACTTCTTTGGGTAGGACGTGAGTCTGAGTGGCTTTGCTGAGGAGTCAGTGAGTGGTCCTCGGCACGGTCGTCTCGAACTCGATACCGTGGATCGACAGGGTGACGACGTTGTCTCTTCCGCATGTTATAGCTTTAAACAAGGTAATCACCACACACAACCTGTCTGAAACTGCCATAGATGCCGATCATGCCAGACCCCTCTGGCACCACCCCAATTGATCGGCATATATGGAATGTTTGGGATCATGCATTATTGCTATATATAAATAGTGTTCCTTGAGCCTTGCGCATGGCGAAAAAGCTTCTGAAATAGGCCTGGAACCCCCAGCCCCAACCAGAAAGAAATGGTTGTTTCTATGTTGTTGCAATAGGTATCCTTTACCAGTAGCAAAGGAAGCTACTAGCAACAAAGGGCACTAGTAGTAATGCCAGCAGCTACTAGTAGTGCCCTTGTTCCTAGCAGCGATGCCCTTAGCTACTTGTGGCTAATTGCTACAAGTAACAACACGCTACTAGGACCAAGAGGCTGGGACAGCCATGTTTTGAGCCGGTGAAGCAGTCGTTTTCCCTTGGGAATCCAACACTATTTGTACAACCAACTGACTTGGCCTATGGAGGTTTTTGTGGAAGTTGAGTCACCTACAGTGGTTTCAGACTAGATGACACTGGTTCCCCAAGATGCCTTGGGACAGATGAGGATTGCGCCATCTACTCTCAAAGCACTGTAAACATATACTGGTCTGATGTGTTTGGGGTCCGATGTTGTGAACTTCCTTTACTTGACTAAAGCATGCTAATTGTGTTCAATTACAAGGAGGGAAGCCTTTACTTCATTTACTTCATCTAAGGACATTAGATGAAATTTGTGTCGTCTCAAATTCTCAATTCGTGCGTGCCAAACATTTATTCCAATTGCCGGTGCAGAGTACCGTGACGACTTGGATTTACGGATTCCATGCGTCAAATCCAAAGGGACCATGGTTTTGGGATGTTTTGGGATTTAGAGGCCCCAAATTAGCAGGACGAAAAGGAAACAATTTAATGATGAACCAGAAACATAATGAAGAACCAGAGGGTTTAGGATGATTTTTTCCAGCAATACCTGATCGCATCCGATCGATGGACCGCCTGGCGCGTGTCGACCTGGCGTCTCCAAATCCGCCAAATCACTCGAATCGGTCGATCGGATGCAGTGACCAAGCGCGTCGCGGAGGGATGCAGAGCGCGCGGAAGTCCCAAGATGTGGCGTTCTACTTTGTGCACTGGCGCCTTGGCACCACACACGAGCGCCGTGACGTGCCGATGTGGATGTTTTCGCCGCAGATACTGCGGCGGCGCGGCTCGGTGCGTTCCGACGCGAACGAAGAGGCACCCTGGTTGTTTGACGTGGGTGTAGTAAGGATTGAAATTTTCATGTATAGACTCTTGAGGACCATACACCCACCCCATTTGGATTGAGTTACCCTTTTCATATGGGGGGTCTATCATTCAAGAGGCTAATTTATGTCATTCCACGATTTTACACGTACCCCCACATACCAGGTCTGAAGGACGTGCGCAGCTCCGTTGGGAGGATTCAGTGAGGTTTGGGCTGTGGGATGTTTTGTTGGCCTTGAATCTAGAAAGCGCAGCTTGTTTGAGCACTGCAGGTAAAATCAGGAAGATCGCATTTGTGGGGCCCAAAACAACACAACACGGATCGGTTAATTTTGGGTTGTTTTTTGGTATGTGTTGGTCGAACTCTTTGTAGGTTGAAGGTTGGCACACTGCAGGTGTACGAGATATGTTCCAGACGATTCGGTTACTATTCTTCCCAGTCCCATCGCATTCACATGGCAGGTCGTGAGTAAGATAATATATGAACCAGTTCCTGGACCCTCCTGTTGGGGTGTCCAATGGACTACCCCACACTACCTATAGGCTTCCAGACATGCTGGTATGAACCAGTTCTTGTTGCACTGTTTTGTACCAACTCCCCCTTGAAGCTTGTCAGCACAACATGACCAATCCCGGTCGGGCTCCAGTCGTTCCTTCTGAGGAGATACGACTGGAGTCTTAAGGAATACAGTCAGGTTCTACAAGGTCAGTCTTTTTAGGATGCCCTTTGAGGGATGGGAAAGGACAGCGTGGACTATCAGATACAAAAAAGGCACAATATACGTTTATCACATTTTATCACCAATGAACATACCTGTCGCATCCTGTCGCCATAGCTTGCTTAAAACGGTTCCGCAAGCTGTTTGTTCTATCCCTTGGCCTTTTTTTCGCGATCACCACTTCACCACTTCCAACCCACCCGTGCCTTAACCTAGAGAGTTCTTTTTTGTTGCAGCCCTGTGCACATCGCCATAACATCGGCACGATCCCAGAGTCCCTGCACCAGGATCCCAGCCCTGCCCTGCCACGCCTCACACGCCCTGCCCTGGGCACCCGACGCCCCCCCGGACACCGGTCGCCGTTCCGGCGGAGGTTCGCGGACCTCGCAGGGGCCGAGCCCTTTCCCATGCAGGGCTGTGAGCCTTGGTTGGTGGAACGGTCGACGGTTTTTCCATGAGGTGCTTAGGAGTCTATGGAGTGAAGGGATTGTAGACTCGAAGAGACGAACCAGACCTGACCTTCCATGTATGGAATATATGCCGATCAGGCCAGGGATGGTTGGATTTGGGGGTGAGTGGAAGATACTCTCAGCTACGGTCTAGAATGGGAGAGGGTCCCACCAAGTAGTTGAGAGTATAATGGAAGTAAATATTGCAGGAGGAAGGGTGGGATGTTATTTTTGGGGGGGGGCTACCGGAACAGCGGGAGTGCCGAGGGAAAGTCGTTGGGAAGATCCTCCAACGCTGTTTTAATGGTTTGCATCCCAAGCGACCATCATACATGGATTTACTACGGATTCTGCAATACGAAAACCAAGTCGTTCCTTTTTTCAAACATGGACTGGCCAGGGGTAAAGAACAGGTTCTGACCGCTGCTCACATGGAGACGTTCCCTGAGAATCACCAGACGTTCCCTCACAACGTCCTGGTCGAGTGGCCAATGTGCGGTCGTTTTGTTCGGTGGTTCCAAGGGGCAGTCCCGACTTGGAAGGAGCAATCTCCCTCCCAGGTGGTGCCGGATGCCTTTTTGGTTCTTGATTCCTTTAAGAGCCGGGGTTTAGACGGATAGATTCTCCAGCCTCAACAGATTGTTGATTATGTTCAATTTCAGTCCTTGAATTCTGTGGATCAACTAAGGAAAAGTTCGTGCTGAAGTGACTTTGGCTGCACTTCGTGTTGGTGAGCCCCACTTTGTTCCTGGCCCACCCAATGCCTGAAATACCGAAGAACCACCGTCTCACGAAGGGCGGACTACAAAACCAGGTCGACGAAAACAGAGCAACTTGCGACGAAAGCAACGCCCTGAAATCTCCACATCCGTTTGAACAGCCTGTTGGAAGATCAGCATTGTGCATGGTGCGGGGACATGTCCAAGCATTTGTTGCAGCGTTTTGGAGGCTCCAGGGATTAATGTCAACGTCGTATTAATCAACGGGCCCCCCCCCCCTAGAAGGTCAACAAGGTCTGAGATTGGAGGTTTTGGAGATCACATCCCCCTAATAATCAGTGGGGATGACCTGATGATGACAGGAGGAGGAGATGAGATGGGATGGAATGATTAGATGAGAGCCCAAATACTAATTCCCTTTCATCATGAGATCCATGAGAG